TTTCATTAAATAGCAGGATTCTTGTGAGGATCCACAGTGTGGGTAAAATTTCTCACAAAATGTTATAAAAAAATACCCCATATTCCTACGAACAAGGATCTTGCAGGGATCACAAGAAATTGCCACTCCAACCTATTTAGCACAATTTTTGTAAAAGTTCCAATTAGAGTCATTAGACAATATAAACCCTCAACCCAAAACTTAATTTCCATCACCAAAAGCTAAACCATTGGCCTATGAAGTTATTTAGCTTGTACTCCCTCAACTCCATAATAGTTATTTTTTTAATAAAAATTATCTTAAATTAATTGTTATTATTTTAATTATTAAGGTAGAAAAATATTTTTTCCACATTGATGCTACTATTATCCCTTAAGTTTAAATCTTGACTTTCTCACCAGAATCTTTTTTTAATTCTCGTATCTTCGTTAAGCTAAAATGGACAGAAACTAAGGGCCATTTGGTAAAATGGTTGTTGTCATTTTTATTTTTATTGTCAATGTGACCAAGTTCAAAGTTGGACACAGAGTAGGAGTTGGGTGTATGGTTGTACTTGGACATGCTGCTTCTGCGACAATTGCACCAACAATGTACTGAGAGGTTTGGTTGATATTCATGTAAAAGGGTTTGGATACCCCTTGTACTCAGGATAGTAATGAAACTTTTGCTGTTAAAAAAAAAAATGTTGAGAAGTCTGTCCTAAAGTGATTTTGACCAATGGTGCCAAGTGCCATAATGTCAAGAAATGCTTTGTGATTTTCCTTTGGAATATAAGTTGTAATTGAATGAACGAGTTACTGATTTTTTTAATTTTAAGATACGAAAAAAAAAATGATATACACTTAGTTTAATATAATTTTTAATATTTATTTTAATTTAATTATGAAAATATAATATAAATTTATAATCAATTTTTATATTTTGTATGTAAGACTAAATTTTTAAATGTATTTATTTTTGTAAATTTTTTAATAAATATATTATATAATATATTAAATTAAAATGTATATCAATTAATACCTTATAAAACATTCAACTTAGTAATGATTTTGATGTTCACTTTATATCAATTAATACCTTATAAAACATTCAACTTAGTAATGATTTTGACGTTCGCTTTATATATATTATATATAAAAGTCGTCTACGACTATAGGCTTCTTCTCTTCTTTTTCTCTTACCATGTACTCAAGTAAACCTAAATGAACTCGAGTTTGCATTGCCAATTCAAACCCACCTGAGCCCCCTCTCCGGGCCAAGTGGTTAACCCA